TCAGTATACATTAAGTTACTGCATTTAAACAAAAACAGATTCTTAGATACATTGATGATTTAATCTGATGCTATCTCGTACCCTAGAGAAAAGTATCAGGAATGGTAAATCCAGGTTGTTTCCATAATACCCTGAGGAAAGCTCCTGGCTATTCTTAGACACTTTCAGTCGTGCTAATATTGCAGTTGTTTTTTTTTCGAAGAGTAAAAGGGAGACAGAGAAGTAGTCATTTTTCAAGTTTGCAATTCCACACCAGTTACAAATCTTTCTTAGTTTTACCTGCTACTAACCTTCATATTTGTGCACACCTCTAACCATTTTAAAAGAACAGAAAGAAATCAGATAAAATTGGGTTACTTGCTCAGTCTTTCGCTAGAGTCATTTTAAGGGTGTTTGATTTTTAGCCAGCACATAAGAGATGAAGACAAGCTGTTTTGCATTGTTGTGTCTTATAAGGTCCCTTCATTATTCCCTCTTTCTACCCATGGTGCTTCAAGGAACTGATTTTAGACTTTCATGGGGAGCAGAATGAGACCTGCCTTGCTCTTTTGTTATCCACAACTGCTCTAAATGCTACTCCAGGGAAAAATTCCCCATGATCACCTCAGTACCCAAGGACTTTGAATGTTCTGAACCCAAATATTCTTGCTGCTGTCTCTTCTGGATCAGTGTTGACCTCTGGGTCCTTGTTGACAGCTGTCTGAACATGATACAGCAGTGTGCCCAGGTGACCAAGAAGGTCAATGGCATCCTGGCTACTATTAAAAGTAGTGTGGCCAGCAGGACCAGGACAGTGATCATCCCCCTGTACTTGGGACTGGTGAGGCCACACCTTGAATCCTTGTTTAGTTCTGGGCCCCTCACTGCAAGAAAGACATGGAGGTGCTGGAGCATGTCCAGAGAAGGGCAAGGAAGCTGGTGAACAGTCTGGAGCACAAGTTTTTTGAGGAGTGGCCGAGGGACCTGGGGTTGTTTAGCCTGGAGAAAAGGATGCTCAGGGGTGACCTTATCGCTGTTTACAACTACCTGAAAGGAGGTTGTAGCAAGGTGGGAGTCAGCCTCACAGGAAACTAGCAACAGGAGGAGAGGACACAGCCTCAAGCTGCACCAGGTGAGGTTCAAGTTAGTGATCTGAAGGAATTTCTTCATTGGAATGGATTGCCCAGAGAGGTGGTAGAGTCACTGTCCTTGGAGGTGTTCAAGAAATGACTGGACATGGCACTTAGTGTTATAGTCTAGTTTACAAGGTTGAACTTGATGACCTTAGAGGTCTCTTCCAATGTAAATGAGTCTGTGATTCTTCCACCTCCATTGCTTTTCCTTAGTGTATGTTCAGATGCTGCAAAGCCAGCTTTTATTGTTATATATGGCTAAGGCTAAGCTCTTAAACCTGGATTACCTGTATGACCCATGGTCAAATATATTTCAACTGGGTTACAAGATGTGGTTTGAACGTTTCCATTCATTGTAAGGGTTTTCTAATTATAAACCCTTCCTTTGCTAATATTGCTTATAAAGTAATGGGCAATTCAGAAGAAGGAAGGAGTGTGTATTCTGACCCAGAATATTCCAAGATCTTGTAAGTTCCAAAAATGTAATATGAGACAAAGAGGATTTTAACAGAAAAGGAAATTAATGATCAGGATGATAGTCCTGGCAGACGGTGAGGGGAAGTTGAAAAGATAGGACTAGGAGTGTTATTTAAGGGGAAATGACAGTTTTTGTGTTTTGTTCTAGACAGATTGATATTAAAATAATTATTATTGGGAGAAAAATATCTTTTGCAAAGAGCCTCAGAGTTGGAATAAACACTTCTTTCTGTGTCTGGCTTGAATAGAGGAAGTGAAAAGAAACATATAGTGGGTGTTAAAAGAAAAGGCATCTTCTTCTAGAAAGTGGCTAATAATGAAATTCTGCTATCTGTAACTCATGAATGCCACTTTGTTGGAGTGCAGCACAGGAAAATATACCTGTATATATACTATCTAATACATTAGACTTCACTCACAAGCACAGACACTAAATTTGTCCAATCTTATGATTCCTAGTTCTGCAGGTACTACAGTTTGAACTCTGAAATTGTGCTTCCCATGGCTACCTCAGTGAGACAGAATATAGCATTAAGTAGAGTAGCTTCCATGCTTCTTTTTCTTATTCCGAATAGCTACAGACACTTTGCAGTTAGATTAACTTGTTCTTTTTTTCTGAAGACTAAGCAATTCAATTTTCATATATGAACAGCATGGAGAAAGGGAGAGGAAGGGAGGAAAACAGAATAAATTTTCAGGAGGGTCTATGGGAGTTCTCATGAATGCAACAGGTCATCACTACTGCTTGGATCACCACCAGAAATTTACATTTTTATTCCCATAAGGCATAAGGTATCTTGCAAGGAAGTGTAAGGTTTTCTTTGGGCATTTTAATGCTTTTACATCTTTCTTTCTGCATCATACATGCTTAGTTGTTTAAGGATCTAGAACAGAGAACCTCAGAAGCAGAGGGGAAACACATGCTGTTTATCTGACTTGCAGTCAGTTGGTAAAAGGTTTAGAACTGTTTCCATTATGAGTGGATGTGTGAGACAGAGACTGGCCCAACCTGCATCCATCTCCGTGAATTATCTTTGTGCAAAAAGAACCCAAGCCAAAAGAAAAGCCATTTGCACTGATGGATGCAATACAGAATCCTAAGACTCACAGAAGCATTTTAAAGACTGTAGTTGAAAGTGTAAAATACACAGTTTGGACAAGTAGTTCAGCTGTTAGGCAACACTGAAACATCTTTATGATGATCAAAGACTTTGTAAGTATCCAGAAAATTCCCAGAAATCAGCGCTGGATAGTCCAGAGTTGTCATTACAGAGCACCAATCTGACTGCAACAGGTAGTCATGGAAGTGCACTTGGTTACTGTAGCAAAATAGCAACTTTGGTGCACTCTGACTTTCATTTTTATTCTGAAAACAGAGTGAAAACCAGATGAAACTGCTAAAGCTTTATCAGACTTGACATGGAATTGTTGGTATTTATGTGGATTCCATTTAAAGTGAAAGGTCAGACCAGACATACTTGAAACTCAAACCTAAATCTGAAAATATTTGCCACCTGCAGCCTGGCTCAATTTTCTGGTTTGTGATGAGAAATTCAAACATTTTGTCATTAAATTCAATCCTGGATACTACACTGAAAGAAAGTCAGAGGTCTATATGTGGGTTTCTTTTGGTGGAAAGCCTGTATAAGTCAGCAAAGCATCATATATTCTTATCTTCTCAAGGTGACTAACAGAACTTTTTTATCCTTTGTCTTTGACCATAAGAATTAACTATTTTATGCCCATTAGGGCAAAGCTGGAGATAGACTGACCCTTATTCTACTCTCTCCAGAGTAAGACAAATTAAGTGCATTGGGTTATATTTGCTCTAATAAGCCAAACGCTCTCAGGACATATTCAAGCCATCCAAGAACAATACTAAGATAACTATGGTCATGTGAACTGTCTTGTTTCTCATGCTTTGGATTTTTAGCAGGAAAAATTGTTTTACTCTTGAGCAGATTTCTGTGAAACACACAGGAGCCTGGACTTCCATCATGTAAACAGTCAGATAACAAACAGTAGTATTTTAATCTTTGGTACTAGGTGCCCACTCAGTATCTCAAAGTTGAAGAAGCTCACACTTACAGCCCGAAAATCTGGCTCCTTCCAGAAGAAACAGAACCTGCTCTCTGAAGCCCTGGGAAGAAATACTGATTGCATTGAAATCAGCGACAAACAGACTTGTGCATCGGTACCTACCAAAAATGTTGCCAAGCCTTGGAAGAGGCTGTCCATGGAAGTGATTGAGTCACTATCCCTGGAAGTATTTAAAAGACATGTAGATGTGGTCCTTAGGGACATGGTTTGGTGGTGGACTTGGCAGTGCTGGATTGGACTCGATGATCTTGAAACTATTTTCCAACCTAAATGACTCTGTGATTCTAGTCAATGGTTTGAACTACTGCTATAAATAGTAAACAAGTCCTTTCCATTTTTTTTTAGGAGTTCCTCTTTGCTCTTATTTGCTCCGTCTATTTTTCTGGGGAGTGATTAATTTACCTGTATTGAGTAATGAAAGGGAAAAAACAGGAGGTGGAAGGCTAGGTGTGCATTCTCTTCCTCTTCTCTGGACTCATCATGCTCTCCCTTATCTTCTCTCTCCTTTTTATTTGTTGTTCTTATTACCTATCTTACTTCTTTTTCATGCCTTCATTAATAAGTGATGTTTAAACTTCCCTGGCTAACCTACGCATTTTTTCCCCAATCATTTCATTTTCTCCTGTCATTGTCCAAAGTTGTAAATTCAACTCCCGTTCTCTAATCTGTTCCTCTTCCTGTCATCAATTTATTTCAAGCCTGCTCTCTGCCCTTCCTCAGCATTTTTAAAATGCATAATTTTCTCCCCTCTTCTCTTCGTCTTTTAAAGCGTTGATACCATATTCACGCAGCAGGGGTGTTCAAAGTGGAGACAGGGATAGCAAGTCAGGAAGGAAGCTTTTGTACCCATAAAATGACAAAGCAGCAGGTATCTGTGAATGCATGTTGTACCTGAATTCTCTCTTCATCCTGGGACCAGTATGGTAGAGAAGCACACTATGAAACACTGAACACACAGTCCATCAGCACTTTATGCTGTTGCTTGTAGCTGTGGGCCATTGCAGCCTATAATAAAGGAAAGATGGAGCTATGTCAGGCTAATTCTTAACACAATAGTAGTTTACTTTCAGACCTAATAAACCATAAATCATTTGCTTTGTGTCTTGCAGCCTAAAAAGTATCACTACCTTAAAAGTTGTGTTCTTTTCTAATGGGAAGAAAAAGAGGGGGCATAGCAAAAAGCCCAAGAACGGGTATAAAGTGGAAATAGAACAATTAATAGAAGCAAAACTTTGAAATAATTTCTCTTGCTGAAAGTATATTTAAGAAGGGAAATATATCACAATAATCAACAAGGTTTTTTGCCTTCAGCCTGTCTGAGGCCATGTGGTTTGGAGATCTGATCACTAGTCCGAAAAGGAAAGGCTGTTTGCAAGATTTCTGGGGTGTTTTTTCCTGGAAAAGGTGAGAGGACAAAAGCAGAAATCTGACATACACTTTTATGCCTTATAAGGAAAGTATTCATCCCTCTATCTGCCTGTCTCTCTCTGTCTCTCTCTTTCTACATGCATATATATAGAGATCCATATGTTTCAAGCTGTCACTAAGTTGATTTGGAGGCAGGTGTTTCTTTCATTTGCTACTCTAAGGGTTAGGTTAAAACCACAAAATTTAATACATGGCTTGAACCAATTGAATTGGATTTTGTTATTTGTTTTGCTCTTTCACATTCACTGTTCAGTATTTTCTGGGGTTTTGCATGGTATTTCCATCAGTAATAACAGTTCTGACTATTTGGAGACAGAACAATGACAAAGCAGAAGATCTTGTGTTTCAAAATTCAGACGACATTTTGTAACAATCATGCTTGCTTAATACACCCCAAAACATTTTGTCTTATACAGCATCTGTGTAATTTTAAAACCATTTCTAAACTGATACTTTAGGTGAGCATGAGTAGCTGGCTCCTTGTTGTATAAATCAGTCATTTTTTTCTTATTTGTGTTTGTGCTGTCTTCCAGTACTCTTGATTTCTTTAATAGTGTGAATTTTGGTTTTGTTTCTCTTTCAAAACACTGCTTCCATTCCATTGTCTTTTCAACAGGTTCACTGGGCAGTCCTTTGCCCATTTTCATTCTCATAGGATTTTTTTTTCTTCTGTGTAACTAAACCAATTTTCTGAATAAAATGACAATTAATAGAGATTATTTACATTAATTTTCACTTGTAATAGCATCGCTAGAGGGCAGTATTGATTAAATTAGGAGCGCACTAGTGCTCTGAAAACTTAACTGCAGAAAAGCCTCCAGTGTAAACATCATTGCATTTTTAATATCTGGTCCTGGCTTTATGTCCATTTTTCATCACAATCTATACATAAAAAGTAAAAGTAATCTTAATTGCCATGTGTATTAGACATTGCTATGTGTAACTTTAATGTGTGTAAAAGAACATTCTGTGACTTTTATGAAAAAGAATGTGCATGTAGCTTAGTAGAAAATAGATGGCATTGAAGTTACTGTAAATTATAATTTATATTCATAGCTTTAATATAAATAATTATTAAAGTACAATTTTTAATAATAAAAATATAGCTTTGTTCTTGTTTTTTTTCTCAGAGATAATGCCGCGAAAAATAAATATCTTCAAATTCATTAACTGTCTCCTTGAAAAATATCAGTACAATGTATTTTAAAATAATGTACATCAAAGATAACCAGAATTATAGATTAAGACACTCACTCGTTTGTTCTTATTGATTTACAGGTCTCCTGACAAATGCAGCAACACAGAATCCTCGTAGGAGTGGTTTAGGCTCTCTGTGAGCTACTTAACTTAGTCAAGTTTCACTGCTGTTGATCATCATCCGTTATATGTCATCAACTCAACTGTCTGTTTCTCTGTATCTCATGAGTGACAGCATAATTCCTCTACATTATGAGCTAAAGTTTGTTCTACCATTCTAAGGATCACTGGACTAAGGAATACAGAAAAAGAGATATGCTTGGGCATTAGCAATACAAACAAGTTCATGGTTAACGTTTCATCTGCGTTATACGCCACTGCTGGACTTGCTGTTACCTACATGTTTCAATCCGAAGAGTCTGCTACAATGAAGAGTATCATCCCAATCAGCCTTAGAGAAGACTGTTTTGCCTATGGGAGGACACTGAGGTGCAAAAGAGAAACTCTTCTTGTGCCCTAAACTGTCTGAATTGCTTTTATTTTCTTATACTTTCAGTATATACAATAGACCAAAGAGCAAAATCTATTTTAAAGTGGACACAATCTTACTCTTAACAGAATTATGTCATTTAATTGAAGGAGGTCTCCACAAACATGATTCCAGCTTTCAAAAAGATGAAATGTTGTTGTCCAGCAGAAGTCTTTATGGAAAGCTGCAGTAAAAACTAACTCAGAGACCTGCTCTTGAAATGCCACGTTCAAGAGAACATTATGGAGCACTGAGAGAAAATGACCTATGTTTGAAAAACTTGGACAAAAGAACACAAACTGTCTACACGGCACCTTTATTCCTCTGTACTTAGATTGACTTTCTCGTACTAAAATCATTTTCAGTTTTAACCAGTTAAACATGCCTCTTCTACAGTTCCATTTTTGATAGTTAAAGTTGGATAATACAGTATTTGCAAAGAGCATGTTTGGTCATCTGTGGCCTATGTCTCATCTGATACACCATTTAGCACCAGAAAGCAAATTAAAGAGAAAACAAAAGTAACATTTGTTTGAAAGAGATCATTAAATGTATTTTGAAAAGCCTAAAGTTATATATTTAACAGTTTTTATATGTTGTATATTTGTAGAAAATCCTATTTAACAATTAACGTGATAACTCTGACAGTCATGACAAGTGGTTCAGAGTTAAGTTGTGTTTTATTACTTCAGTTGTCTCTGAAGTGACTGGTGTAGTTTGCTTTCTTCCATGGGGACATTCTGGATGTAAAGCATGACCAGAGAGGACTGTGTAGAAAAAGCAAAGAATAATGTTGTTTATATTACATAAATGCATTCAACCATTGCACTGTTGGAAGGCATTTTTATTTTTATTTTATTTTTATTTTTTGTCTTTATGTACTGATAAAAATAGAGTGTAAAATATTTTACTCATTGCTCTTCATAGCAAGGTTTGGTTTTCTTTCTTTCTTTCTCTTTCTCTCCCCTATTTTATGTAAGGGTCAGTTTGAAGCCTGTTCCTTGATCCCATTTTCAGTGTTTTACCTCATTGTTAGAAAGTCCACTTTTTTGGCATTATTGGTTAGTGAAAATTTAGCAAAGACAGCATAGACAAGGGAGAAATTATGACAAAACAAAATCTTGTTCCCTTTTACCTTACCTTTTGGCATATAGGTTTGGTACATATTGGTATGATGCAATCAACAAGGGAGCTTAATTTCTTCCTGGCAAATGTGTTATGGTTTCAAGTATACTACCTAATACTCAAATTAACTTTTAGTGTTATGCTCGTTCTGTTCTACTAAAGAAAAATATATAGAGATTATTCAAGTGACCATAGATGAGAGATACAAAAATGAAAAGTTGATAAAAGAATTTTTTTTAAAGCCTGCTCAAACGCTGAGGCTTATTTAATGCAGAGGTTGCAGGAAACATGACCTATATTGTATCAGTTTGTCTTCAAGTAAAATAAATATATACAAAATTCTTATTTAATCATAGGATTTTGACCAGTATCAAAGTAGCAATTAAAGCCCAGCCACTTGTAAAGTGTAATGGACTGACTGCACTATAGATGACCGATGTCAGGTTTAAAATGTCATGCAATAAATGATGGTAAATACATTTACTGTACATGTAGACCTCAACAGCCAGATCCTTCACTCTACCAACTCTCTGTTTTGATTTATTTTAAAAGGAGCGTAGTAGCCTTATTTAGTAAACACAGAAAAATGAAAGATGTTACATCATTTTTGTTGCTTTACAGTATTCAGTTTTGTGTTGGTTCAGCTAAATTATGAAAAATAAAGAAAATCCTTTTCTAAGTGAGACTTGTTCCCTGAGCATGACGTCACCAAAGGAATTTCACCAGATGATAAGGTGGGAGCACAGAGAGGAAGATGGAATTGGAAACTGAGGACATGGGTTGTGTTTTGAAGTTTTACCTTTCCATTTTCATGTCTTGGGGACCTTCATTTTGGTATGCTTAGTTACAGATCATATGAAGGTCATTTATTTTCTGGAAATCAGATCCTCTAGGAACTCGGGTATCTAAGAATGTACATTTGAAATCTTTACATCTAAAATCATACATTCCAATCAGTTTTGAATATGCAATCTTATGTCTTTGTTTTCTAAGCACTTTAAAAGCTCAACAAAAGGTAGATGTACGTTGTTTATAAGGTCCACTCTGGAGAAGAACTATCAAAGGCAAAAGATTCTGATTATTCTTCTGAGATGCATTCTAGTTGCTGAGTCTCCCGTGTACAACAGGCACCTCAAGGCACTTAAAATGTGTTTTGTGCTTTTCTCTCCTCTCCCAAAATGTACAGTTTTAAACAAACAAAATATACTGGCTGCATTTGTCACTGTGAATTACTACTCTAAGAGCAGTGGTGAAATGTTTGTCTCTCAGGAACAATATGTTTTCAGAATATTGTGAACTTTAATTTTACAAAACTAAGTTACATAAAAAATTGTTTGTTTCTGAAAGTATTTTATGTGCCTCTTCCAAAGCAGAATTTAAAACACAGAGGGGAATGTCTTATTTGAATGCTATTAAATATCCTTCATTTCTCAGCTTGCAAACAAGTAACTTTTTCAAAACATACTTGAAAGGGAACAGAATAATACATAAAAACGCATAATAGACTAATAAAAACAACCTCCAGAAATACAGTAAACCTTTAAAATTTTTTTGAAAAAAGCTTCTCTGTAGCTTTCTGTCAGCTGAGGCAAGGACACATTAAACTACTGCTTTTAATATCTGGGATATCAAATGGAGCAAACATTAGCACACTATAGCAATCATTGTGACACATCATTCACCAATTTCATAATTATGCTTTTAGGGTTTTTTTTCCCCTGAATTCATTTCTTCTCAGCAGTAGATCAGGTTTATGCATGTGATATCCTCAGTCATTCAGTTGTTTACTGAAATTGTACCCACGTGCTGTTGCATAAATCTTTAGCCTAGGCACTTACTATCTTCTATAGCCTATTCATCGCAATCCTGAGTACTAATCAGAGTTTCCAGAAAAAAATAAAGAATTCAACACTGTGTCTGAAAAGCCAATATAACTATGAGGAACAGTTGAACTAGAATGTGGTCAATGATTGGTTGACAGGAAAATTGCAGCAATGACTACTTGGGTGAGTGGACTAGTGGAAAGAAAAAATGAACGAGCCAACACTGGATGTAGCACAGGAAGCCAAAAAAACTCCCCCAAAATTGGTATATTTATTCAAGGGTGGGGGGAAAACCAAACAGGACCAGCTCTTTCATCATATAAGCCTACACGTATGCAGTATCTTTTCCAATTAAAAAAATGCAGAAGAAGGCTTTTTCTTGTAAACATCTTTGTACAATTGATATGATTTGAAGCTGGCTCCCTGCCAAGTCTCCAAACCTTACGACAAGAAGCACCACCACCCCCTCCCAAACCTCAGGGAGAAGAGGGAGAAAAACAACCAAGAAAAACCGAAACGAGAGAGACAGCTAAAGCAATATCTGTATAGATATATTTACACTTATGTTACAGGTATATACAATTGAAATATATATATACAATTTCACAAGGGAAAGGGAAGGGGGAAGGGAAAAGGAACAAAACCAAAATAGAATGTATATATATCCCAATTAGTAGCCCAATATCTAGCAACTAAAATAGTTAGCAAAGAAACATCTCACTACTTTCCTTGGGACAACTGAGTTGCTCTGGAACGATCACCGGCAACCTCCGTCTCCCAAGGTCGACAAGGCCTTACCCGGCCTCACTCCCCAACATGGCAGACCCGACAGCAGGGAACCTGCACCTCCAAGCTGCCGGAAGGAAAGAGAGCAAAGGCCTCTCCTCCTTTCTTCTTATAGCCTGGCTTACATAAAAATCATAGGGAATACTGGGTAAATCTGGACCCTTCCTTGGTTACAAACTGGTCACCAAAGAAGGCCTAGACCAAACTACCACAACAATGTATATCAGGAATCACATATACATGAGTAACAACCAAAGGCAGGAATGAGTTGACTATTTTTTCTTTCTGACATTAAAGAATTGATCCCACATTGAAGCAATGAATCTCACACGGCTTAGAACGCAAATAAGGATGGGCAGAAAGCACGATATTCTATATCGTAGAGTGTAGATTTCAAACTGGGGCTTGAGTAAAGAAAGGAAGTCAAGAAAGAAACTGAAAAAAACCCACAACCAACACTAGAGAAAAATAATTTTTTTCATTTCAAAGTATTTACTGTTTAATAAGTGCTTTTTAGTATATTCAATACATGCTAGGGAAGTCAAAAGGAGTAAAATTTGAAACAAGGAATTAGGAAAGAAAATTTTTTATAAAATATTTTAACTGCAGAGATGAGAGTTTTACAGATAATGTGGTTGTCTTCTTTAGAGATATAAATCCCATTAAAATCAGAGACCCATGGGTAATATACAAAAGGTAATTCCATCACTGATTAAAAATAAACTAAAAAATGGAAACTAAATTAAAAAGTGGAAGTAAATGACAATAAACCAGAATAAACAGTGACTAATAATAAACCATTCTGTGGGAGGATCAACACAAGTTCTTGTACTACTTTTGACTATGAATGAAATATGAACACAGATTGCATGGTTTGTTAGTATCAGTAAATTACACAGATTAGTGAAGATATGGGAGGTCTACGAATATATGAGGATATTCAGAGACAAAATGGGTCACCAAATATTAACAGAAAATGGAAAACTGAAAACCAGGAATGTCAATTTATCATTTCTCACACCATCAATGTAATTGTGGTTTCAGTTATGTCAGTTTTAGGACATATGTGAAAAAGGGGCTCTGCTCTTCAAATAGGTGCTAATGCTGGTTTCAAGCTCCTCAGTGCCTAGGTCAAGTCACTGATTTCATGTGATAATCTTGTGTTAGCTATGCCTTTTTAGAGTTGCAGCAAGCCATTGGAGGTCCCTTAGGATACATATCTGTAGTCACAGAGCACAAGGTGCTCATGGCACCCATGTCCTCCACAGGTGGCTTGGACTGACTGTGACCACAATTTTCTAGGTTTGATATTGCCAATATGAGACTAGTGACAGTGATATCAGAACACTGTATGGTGCTGCACTGATACAAAATGATGTGTGCAAATGAAGAAAGTTCATTACCATATAATCAAAAAACAACTTTTCTAAAAATATTGATAAATAGCATGCAAAGAACAGCTGCAGTAAAAAAAAAAACTGAAACACACACACACAAAACCACACCAAAAAAAACCCAGCAAAACAAAGCACCATAAAGACTGTCAATGTAAGAAAAAAAAATGTAATAAAGGAAAAAAGTTCTACAAAGATCTTTCAGAACAACCAACATTTAGAAGTAGAAACTTCAAAGGTGTTTATGTTAGGAGTACAGGGTCTGACACAGTAGAAGGAGCAATGCTAGCATGTGCAGAGAGCAGTTTACATCAGCTAAGGAGCCCAAGCATTACCTCAAACAATTGTATAAAGCGCCATGAGCAACTGTCTGTCTTCCTTCACTGCCTAGGGAGAAGCTGACATTGGTATACACCCAGGAGAGAGACGGGGTTTAGTATGGGTTCTCACACAGGTATAACAATACATGTCACCCACCTCAGGCAGAGACTGTAATGGCAGGAAATGCTGACATCTACTGCCATCCAAAATTACTTACTGAGTTGTGAAGGTGCCAATAAAAGGTTGGTGGTTGAAGCCTGAGCCAGTTGTTACTGTACAAACACATTGCATAAAACAGCTCACAGAGCCTCAGTGGCAGTAAAGAGGTCCTTCCCATCACGATGACTAAAGCAAATGCAAGGGACATATATTTCCTCCT